GTTCAGCACGCCTTTTTGATAGCAAAGACCTCTGTTATTTGGAAGTCAGTTGTTAAAAATTCGCCCCCGCCCCCCTACGCCACAATCCATTTTCGAGCCGTCCGTAAAAATAACTTTTAGCTAATCTGATTACTCGAAACCAATTTCCTATTAAAGCAAACTGATTTCAGAATGCTCAGGACATTGTATTTTCTTTTTAGTACACTCTAATTGCTAGCGATGTGTCGAGTGGCTGGTATATGGTTTACTTTCTTTCGGTTTCTCAAAAAAGTAAGTCCACTTTCAAGTACTATTTGTCGTTATTTTGTTTCGCACATAAATATGTGGGAACTTTCTGCTGTACTTTTTTTGGACCTGTTGAACTTCGGAGATAAATTATTTACATCTGTGTATATGTCAGCATATAGTAATACATATAAACGCTCAATTTCCTCAAACAAGCAAATCTCTTATGAAACACTTCACACCTAATCCTTACTCACTTCACACTTCACGCCCACTAATCGCATTACCAACGAGTGTGCACGTGCTTGATAACCAAACAGAGCTTCGGGTCGCCATGCACTCGGTTGCTGCATGTATGTGCAAGAAGGAAAATGCTTTTCGTTGGCAGTGTGAGTGTTTGTACAACCAAAATATCTTTAAAATTCAATTAGAACGCATTGTTTTACTAAATAATTTAATTAAGTGGCTGCAAAATGGGCAAATGAGTGCAAAAAAAATATTAGAGCTTTTCTTCTTAGCATGCTGTGCTTTATTACAAAAACAAAAGCTATCGATAGCAGCAGCACATACCACCATCACACACTTAAACACATATGAGTAAATTCTTGCAGGCGAACAGAGTATTTTATGATTGTGTGCTATTTCCGCTTCCGTTGCACAATATTTGTCGCTTAATTGTATGTATATGTGTGCGTGCGTTTGTGCGGTTTGTATTTAAGCACTCGAGCGTGCGTGCAACAGGACGCTTTTATGCACTCAAGCAACGAAATAGTTTTGTTAGCTGAAAAGTGGACATTATTATGACTGGCACGTGCTTATGCTGCAGAGCAAAAAAGTTGAAGCGCACTCTCTCCTTCTCTACCCCTTCTTCTGTCTGTTTCGAGCTCTCAGCTTTTTTTTGTTGTTGTCATAAAGCCAGTCAAATGTATACAATGATAATAAAAACAAAATAGTAAAAGCACAGCTTCAAGAAACATTGAATTGCGAAAACCAGCAATTGCAGTTCGTCTTTGCTGCAATTTTAAGAAAAAAAAAAGAATGCAGAAAAAACAGCAATGAAATGCTGACTACACTAGCAAGCGAGTCAAGTGTTTGCTTTTGAACCGATTTTTATTTTTGTTTTTGCTTGCCTTGCTGCATTTTGCTTCTTTTTTTTGTGTGACCCAAAGCATTGTTTTTCGCTGGCCCATCGCTATTGTGTTCGTACAGCTGCAGTTACTGTTGCTGCTGCAGGGCTATTCATTAGGAAAACATGTGTCTTGTGTGCGAAGTAACGCACACACACAGCTACTTGTGTGCTTATACGTACTTGCCCTGCAGAAAAAAACAGTCAAAGGTAATAAATAAAAAAATTGTTTTTCTTTTAGATATTTTATGTCCAAAAGTAGTTGGTTACAAGTTAGTTGACTTCTAATGCAGTGGTAACTACCCTTGGCAAACTTTCCTCAAAGAAAATGTGTAGAAAATAGTGACCTTTAGTTCCTTCGCAATCAACTTCAAGTTAGCTTATAGTTAGATACATTTCCTGCAGGGTATGTTTGTGCAGAGAAAGCACAGCATGCGAGTCAAGTGATACGCATATAATAGTAGAATACACCATCATCGACTCACATACATTAAAATGGTTGTATGAATACAAATAGTAGCCACATATGTGGACTCGTAAAATTCCATGTGTTCGCATTTTTTGTTTGACACACCGTTTGAGGCACGCTGCCTACGTGTCGTATGCGTTACACCAACGTGCAACTTAAAACGATATCCTACATATGTTCGTATATGAATGCTTACATTGGTACATGCATACGGATATATCTACATACATAAATACACCTGCAGGGAAACCCCGAACTAGTGAACAAAATTTCAAGCTCCGTACTAGATCTTTGAGCCCAAATCGAACCAGTCCGAAAGTAACTAAATCCCTCCCTGTTCGAATGCAGTGAAATGTGGTACTTTTAAAAAACTATTTCACTTCAATTTTCCATTTCTTCTTATAATTTTATTTTGGTGCAAGAAGCAAGAACAATTAGAAAGATCGAACTACCTTTTGACTTCTAAGTGTTTCTGTTTAGTTATACGCAAAATCGCCAAATCAAAAATAGTCACAGAAAATGTGATAAGTCTCACAGAATAAACAAAAAAAATGGTCTTAATATAAATCTATATCTAAGGTGACGTATTTCGAACTGGTTCGGAACTATCGACAAAGGGATGCAGCGGGGGCCAATTGACACTTCGTAGGACATCGCGGTTCTAAACTCGCCCGTTGCTAACATACAACCAGTTCGGCACAAGTGCGTTGAACCACAGGGTATACTACATATGCATAAATACGCATTGCCAATGTGCCTTTTGTTTTGGTGATTTTTTTTATTCTTCTTACTTTTTCTATAGTCAAAGCAATGAAAATACATTAGAAACTGCAATTTCAATTTGTATTGATTGTGCATCAGGTCGTATGAGTATTACTTTAACATATTTATATATGCAGTACATGCTCACTAAGGTGTCTCAAAACATAAGGAAGAAATTTTTTTATTGGGTATGTCAAGGTCGAGTCTGTATAAGAAGAAGTTAGTTGCGCGGGTATCTTCAGGTATCTGAACTGCTTCGTCTGCGATGGGCGCTGGTTGAACTCCGACAAACACTTCCACGGGTTAAGAGTTCGAAAAGTGATAGAGGTCTGTCCATAAACACCGTTGTCAGTACAATGTCCGCCCCAGTAGTTGTACGATGTACATAGTCCATTAGTTCGTAGGTTAGAAATGTGAGAAAGCTTTGATGTTTTTACCTAACCATGCTAAGCCTTGTATCAGGGTGAAATTTCCATTAACTGATGGTAGATAAGGCCAAACATCGAGAAGCCAAACATCGGGAAGGAATGAAGCTGTAGATCTTGTCGAGTAAAACAACAGAGAGAAAAAGAGAAAGTACCTGTAGTGACTGAGTTATTTAACTTTTCCTGAAAACCGACTTCGAAATATTGCGGTTCACTACAAGGAGAAAGTGATGTTGTATATAAAAAACGGTTAAGGCAATATTTTGAGTTGATTAGCGAAAAATTTTATTTTTTTTTTCAAGAGCTATAATTCTATTGAGAAATAAGTGTAGCTTTTGGTTTATAAAGTCAATTGGCCATTACGTAGATATCTGTTAGTGGTATAAGCAATATTTTACGTTAAAATAGAGTACTCAAATAGACGGCATTGGCGTACCATTACTTTTGGTTCCATATATTATTTGCTTTTAGAAATTTGATAAAATACGTATTCTGTCAGGAATATTATGCAAGTATCATGAAGTAATATAAAAACAAATAAAATTCTAACTTTCGTCCAGATGGATTTGCGATTCGAACCACTGTTTGGCTTGAGCCCAGGCCCTGATGAGTGGTAGCGTGCAGTGCTAGTCACTATACCACAGCGGCCGCCATTCGATATGATTGAAAAACTAAATATCTCAGAGCAAGTTCGTAATAAAAAAAGTTCGAAGTTTTCACATTACTTGTGCCAAAGCGAAATCAAAAGCGTGTATGCATATTGACTTTGCCGAAAAAAATTTTCCTGGTACACTCTAATGCTCAAGAACATATACATAAATGAATGTGCATTTGAATGTGTTCATGATATTGCATTTTAAATGCATTGCAAAACGTTTGCTTTATCGCACGTGTTGCTGCATATCAGTGTGTGTGTGTTTTATCTTCAAATTCTATAAATATTTTTTGTTCATGCACACAAATTCACTAGTACATATGTATACACATGCAAACATAAATAGCTTTATAATAATTATTTTCGTATTAAACCATAACTGCAGGCGGAAAGTATTAAATTTGCATTTCAAAAATTCTACAATGCGATATGAAACTCAGTTTTTTGATTGTTGTGTGTGTGTGTGTTTTTTTTTTTTTTTGGTTTACCAACCATTTAATGTCGCTCTCTTTTGCAACATTCAACATAGAAATTGTATTTAATTTACACAGAAAATAGATATTTTAATTGAATGCAGTCAAGGGCAAAATAAATGGGAGTAGATGGTTTTTTACATCTGNTATTTAATTTACACAGAAAATAGATATTTTAATTGAATGCAGTCAAGGGCAAAATAAATGGGAGTAGATGGTTTTTTACATCTGTAAAAATGCAAATGTATTTTTTTTCTTATTTATAATGTAAAATTTATGCTTTTTTTTGGTACTTCACTATCGCATTGCTTGAAAAAATGACATTACGAAGCTTAGGATCGATTGCAAAGCTTTAAAGTGTAAAAAATTTTCTATATTTTAAAGTAAACGTAATAAATAATATGACTTTTAAGTTAAGGCGTGGGAGTAAACATATCAGCTGGCTGTATAAGGTGCTACGGGACGTATGCGTAACATTCACAACAATGGGTAAATGAGTACGAGATGTTATTTTGATTTTGTTTAGTATATATTTTTTAAGTTTTCATTTAAATACAATCATCTCACTTTCAGCATTTAAGTTTAATTCTATTTAAATTCTAGAACGTATTATGTGGTGTGAATTTTTGTAATTTTATTAGTGTTAAAAACATACTATTTGTTATGCATGTGAAATGTATGTATATACATAAATTACTGATGCCCCAATGTGGTAAATCAAATCAAGTCTAGAGTACTTTTACACAAATCTTTACTTTCATGCAGCTTATGCACATCATTAATAAGCATTTATGAATTATAGTACTTGCGCATATTTTCCATTACTTATTCATGTAATATATTACGTTTAATTCTCTTTTCACAGAAACCCCTTATCGGCAGAAGCAATGCACGCTACTGCAAACATGGCGCCTTTTGTCTCGAGACACAAGTTTATCCCGACGCACCGAATCACGTGAGTTCAATAGCTACTACAAAAAAAAATGGACGCAAAGTATTACACAAACGTACCAACTACTACTAA